ACATCTTTGCCCGTCACTATGTTAACCATCAGAAGTGGGACAGACATTTCAGACCAATAAGACAAAAGGGCTCCCTTTGGGAAGTTTAGATGAGGCCATTTAGGCTGGGAGAAGGTAGAATTTATTCTTCATTTTTAATCTTATATCAATACTTACAATGCAATACTTACAATAGCAATGTATTAATACATCTACTTATGCACTGGGGTTAGTTGTAATTATAGCAAAAATATATTTTAAAATATCAGGAAGGTTTATGATATATCATCATATAGAAAAAGCAAGTTTTAAAACAGAATGTACATTGTGAGTCTAATCACATGACTGACAGAATTTTGGGTGACTGGTGATTTTTGTAATTCTCATTGTTTTTTAACAATGAATATATATTAGATTGACACTAAAAAGCTATATGTTTTGCTTTTTCTTAAATTGCAAGTTGTGATCCTTCAGCCTTTTATGTAGAAAATTCTCCAGTTTTCTCTGAGTAGACAGATTAGCTGAGCAGGTTGAACATCCTGAGTAATTCACTGTCTTCTGGTCAACCTGAGGACACAAGAAGACACACTCTGCGTGTCCTAGGAGACCCAGTATGGTCTGTGTGCTCCCTATGTCTCCAGCTTTCACTGCCATCTAACCACTATGACTGTCTCAAGGGATCCACACTGCTCCAAGAAACATTTGCTGGCCTAGAATATTCTCCCTTCCCAGTATGTTCATGCTATTTAAATTAAGGCCCTCAGTTCTGATGTCATTTTCTCCAAGGAACCTTGCTCAGGTCAAGTTCTATCATACCCTTTAACTGACCAACATTTTTTCCTTCATTTACTTGTGTGATTTTAATTTAATATCTAATAACTGACCCCCCAAAAGCAACAACAACAAATAGTTGTGAACTCCATGAAGGTTTGGCTTATCATTAAATCCCTAGTGCCAGCACACTGAGACTCAAAGGGATTTAAATATCATTGTACATATTATGCACCACAGTAATGAAATAAATAAAATTCAGAGAGGATGATTAGGTGGAATACTTTCATAGTGTCTACCCAGAGTCATCCATGTAATCAATGAGTCATCTGTGTTTGTTGAGTGTCTAATTGCCCTCTGCTAGACACTTCAGGAGAAGCAAAGTTAATATAGGAGAGGGTACCTGCTCCCTGAGGGAATTTATGGTGTACTATCAAAAGATGAGAAACATACAAATGAGATCAGTAACGTAACTTATTAAATCATATTAGAAGTATATTATGCTTTTAAGGGCTGCATAATTTAAAAAACCTTAATGCTCCACATAGATTATACCCACTTCAGCAAGTAGGATTTAGTGTGAACCATAGCATTTAAATAAAATCAAGTGGTATGTTGATCCCATTCCTATTTCTAGGGATTGTCTTCTGCTTCCCTCACACTTGCTAAAATTAACATTATCCAAATTAAACATATTATTCATAAGAACTTATAGTCTATATATCACCTCCCTCATATCTACCTTAGAAAATCTTTTTTAAGAGGTAAAAAAATGGCGAAAAGAAGACTAGGGATTAAAAACTAGAACAGAATGAAGTGGTGGTGAGTATAACAAAAAATAATAGCTAACACCTAATTTTGTGGGATATTGCTCAAAGAAAAGAAATTTAACATAATTAATGTGGTTATCCTAACTAACACTTCCATGCTTTTGGTGACCATTGTTATCCTTCTTTATTAACAGAACTAAGGGACCTGAGTCACACAGAGGATAGTAACTGGCCGAGTGATACAGCTGATAGGAGGCAGAGTCAGGCAGTCTGGGCTGAGGGACTGGGTTCTGAACCACCCTATCACGCTGCCTCCAAGTTCCCCATTCTTTTCTCTCTTGAATATCCCTTGTCCACCTGTCATCATTCCTTCCACATCACCTCCCCCACCCCAGTCTTTCTATTTCTGTTAGGGTCTTCAATTCCTAATGACAAGTGCTTGCCAAGTAGCATTAAATAAATCATCCTTATCTTTGGTGTTTTTTCCTATATTATTCCATCTTGAATCTATCCATGAGATCCCTGTTATAAGTTATAGCAATCAAGGAGTGAATAAAGAATAGTACCATTATCTCACAACTAGAATTCTAAGAGGATAAATTAAAGTTAGGGCTTTTTGAATTGACACACTTGATTTTGCTGTTACCAGATCTTAATAATGATGATAATAATAATACTAATATTTATTGAGTGCTAATTGTGTGCCAAATATTGTTACAAATACTTTCCTTATATTAACTCATTTAATCATAAGTTAAACCTACCATGTAAGTTCTGTGATTATCGTTTTGTTTCTCATTTGATAAAATAGGCATCAATATTTTATGTAAGTTTCTTGATGAGCAGCCAGAAGTAAAACCAAGCTGGATCTGATATGACTTAATGATGGAATCCAAGTCTCTCTCTTTTTTTTTAAGTGTGTGTGTGTGTGTTTTAAGATTTATTTATTTATCTATGCATACAGAACTGGGGTACAGGCCAGAGGTGCAGGGGTGGTGAGAGAATTCACCAGAGACAAAGTGGGGAGCAGAACAGGCAGGTCTACGAAGTACACTGCTGAGGGGAGCAGCGCGTGAGACAGGAGAGTTCTGCTGCACAGTGTGGATCACCTCTGGGGTTGGGGATCGAACTTAGACTGAAGAGGTGGCTGCGGTGCAGCCAGTTTACAGCACTGCGTCCTAACCAGTTGCACCATCAGGGAGGGCCCAGAATCCAAGTCTTAACCACTGTGTCTTAACCACCAGCTTTCTAGTCCCACACTTTTACCTTTACATGTTTACATCTCTTTTTCTGATATCAGAAGTATAATACTCCAGGTCTGTTTAGACAGCATTTTCAAATTGTCCCAACAATTGCCACAAATTGCCAGAATCCCCTCAGTGGCTTTTTCCTTTCCTACCTAATTTTTTTGGTTACTATTTCTGTTCTTTTCCTTAGAATAAGAGTGAATGTTTATACACTGAGATTTCACAATAACTGGGTAATCTAAACTCTAACATTATTATTAAGTGGGTTTTCCACATATATGCTCTTAAATTGGGTCTCATATCATAATCAAAGGAAACTTGACCCCTGGGTGTGAGCACTATTCCTGCATTGCTTCACCAGTCTAGAATATTCAGGGGTGACTCACACCTGCCTATCTCCAAACCATCTCCCACGGATGTAGACGACCCCCTGTTTACTCAGTGAAAGCTATGTCTAAGTTGCCAGCAATGCTCTGTATTAACAACATTCTAATCTTATGGGAAGGGCTGTGGTGAATTTCTGGAAAGTGAATAGGAAGTTGTTCTCTAAGCCTGACACTAAGGGGAGGTAGGAAGACTATATATAACAGAAACTGTGTTGGGCACATCACATAAAGCTAACCGAATAACAGAGGAAATGGTAAGTCCATTTTTCTTTCTTATGGGAAATAACTGAGTTGATGTGGTTTGTGGCTAAGTTGGGCAGGTAAAGCTTCAGATAGTGAGGAAGAGTAATTATGTTGGATATCCTTTTAGAATTAGTAAGCAATTTAAAACCTGCTTTCCACTTCAACTTTCCTTAAAACTTACAACTTATTTCTATTCTGCAAATGAAGCCCTCTGCCTTATGGAAACTGTGTGTTTATCTAAGGGTGCATTGTTATGCATCATGTCATCTGGGTCTGGACTCCTGTGTATGGCTCCACAGTTGCTGTTTTTCCTACAAAAGCACATAGGGACTTACTTGAATAGATCTTGGCAAATCTTCAACCCCCTTTGAAAGGACTGCTCTCCTCTTTGGGCTGAATGCAAAGCTGGACTATTCTCCTGTTGAAAAGCTTCTTACTCCAGCTTTCCTGTTTCTTTCTCTGAGCCCAGAGTCTGAGTCTGAGACTGAGTTGGAGTATCTACTGTGTCACTGTAAAGATCAAAGGAGATTTCACTGAAAAACATTTAGATCTGAACCTGACATAATTACTCATCAGTAAGTGTCAGCAATTATTATGACAAAGAGAAAATTCTTGGGGTTTAGTATGGTTTGCTATCTAGGGAAGGCCCAAGGAAAACAAGGCATTCATGAGTTTCTGTAAGTAAATTTTACCTCAACTCCACAGATGTATCTAATAGAGTCCCAAGGTCCCAAATCTCATAGTCCATGGCTAGAGAGGGGATCAAACTGTTTTTGAGTGCTTCCTATGGAATACCAAAAGAAAACAACCTTTGCACACAGTCTGTCCACCTCTGTGCTTTACTGTAGAACTCTTTTCAATACCTTTTTTTAAAGATTTATTTATTTATGCATACAGAACTGGGGTACAGGCCAGAGGTGCACCGGCAGAAAGGATTCACCTAAGACAGAGTGGGGAGCAGAACAGGCAGATTGACGAAGTACACTGGAGAGGGGAGCAGCAAGTGAGGCAGGAGAGGTCTGCTGCACCTTGTGGGTTACCACCTCCCTGGCCAGGGATCGAACTCATGCTGAAGCTATTGTGGTTAGCTTCATAGTGCTACACTTTAACACACTGCACCACCAGGGAGATCACCACTCTTCAATACTTGTAAAGAGGATTTACTGTGAGGATGAGTGAGGGGGAGACACAGATAGGAGAGTGAAGAGAAGAGGAATGAATGAGTCTGTCCTCATGTTGAATCCTGAAGACATAGGGAGGTAGATCACATTAGTCTTTTCTATATCATACTTATCATGGATTAGTCAATTTTAATGAATGAGCAGTTATTCCTCTCTTCCTTCACTTTGGTAACCTCTTCTACTTCAGAGATAAGTAAACATATTGGATGACATAGTTTTTTGAAACTTTGGTGAAATGTACAACTCTGCTTTCCATTGAAAATGCAAACATTCACACAAACACCAAGTTTGGTGGACCACACTAAGAGCTCCTAGACTTCTATGTGGGTTCTGGCTAAGAATTCCACCCTATCATCTCCTTTGATTTATGCTCAGAAGTTCTTTCACTGGCATCCTGAAACAAGACTCGGTTTGGTAATTAAAATGTCAATGATAAAGTTACAAGGATGGTGGAACAGAGAGCTAGAGAGAAAAGACCAAGAATGGAAGGAAGATAAGAACAATGAATCGCAGAGCAAAGGGAAAAATCAAGCACTGTTTAGGCAGAAGACAAAGGATCAGGGCAACTATATCAAGCTTGTCTTCAACATGGTAGAGGTACATAATCATCTTTCCATGGTACAACTATTACCAACTCTATAAGTAACCCACAACACTGGCAGTCAAGGGACTCCTATGATCTAATACTCCTTCCTATGCAAAGTGAGGTCCAGGGAAAGACAGTTGACCCTCCCACATTTTCCCCCACTTTTCCCTGAACACCACAATCACTTTTAGTTCTCTAGAAGGGTATAATTCAAGATAATCACAGTGCAAAGCAGACTTAATTGTTTACACAGATTCAGGATATTATTCTAGTTACCTAGTCTCAGATAACTTCCGGTGAATTCCAGTTTGAAGCAGGCTGCCAAAGAACATCAAACTGAAAATTAGCAGGTGGTCATTTCTCCCAGAGAGGCATTTATTTCCCCCCCCCCAAAACTTTATTAACTTGCTTAGTGACACAAGGACAGAGTTCATAACTCCTTATCATCCTACATCCAATACTAACTTGAAGACAACATTGTAGAACAGGGGCAGGTGTGAGAAAGTCTGCCCATCCCAAGGAAAAATTTTAAGCACCACTTGTTCTCCATATCCACACACAATACACTTCTCAGCTGCCAACATACATTTAAAATATTACTGCAAATGCATCTCTAAATGAGAAAGGATTTTTTCCAATTTATTCCTGTCGACGAATATTATTGATATAATCAGATGAGTTCAAATCAATCCTAGTTATTATTTCAATTTTAAGGATTTAAATATTGAGAAACCTCATTCACATCAAAAGTAGATGGAAATAAAAGTTGTACATAGAAATGTCTCTCCGTTTTTTAAACTTTCTCCAAGTTATATGCCCAGAATTATATAGTGATTTATCATCAGAATTTTAATCACTGGTTTAGCATCTGACAACTTAGTTGGATCATCCATCAAAGGATGAATGATTGAAGGAAACATCAAAGCCATTGCACTTGGAAAGCACTTGTCCCAGCATTATTAGGAGCAGTCAAGCTCTCAGTACCTTCCCAATACATTATATTGTCCCTGGACGGCATACCACCTAAACCCTATAATAAGTGAGAGTCAGATTAGTAAAAGGCATGATTTCTTTTCTAAAGTAGGAGAAGGGCACATTCTTAGATCAGTTTTAGTAAAGAATACATGCAGAAGTTGGGAAATAGTAACATAGATTTATTTAAAATGTCTCTTGCTGGTGAACCGCTTGAGAAGTCAGGCCCAGTTTAAAGATTTCTGTTGGTTCACTTGGTGTGATGTTTTTGGGTACTGAATAGAAATCTAGTTGTAGTAATAGCTGGTGATATAAAAACGAAACAAAAAGAAACCCAGAGAAATTGATGGAATTAAGTTCCCACTAACGGATTATTTCCATAGTTCCTATTCTAATAAATAGCATCAGACAGCATACTACTATCATATGCTTAGTATTTAACTATAGGTCCTGCAGACATCAGTTATTGGTGTCCTAGCTCATAAAAACACAGACTATGCTGAAATGGAAAAGTACCAGACTTTTTTTTTTATGATTTTTCTTTCTTTTTTATTCAATATTTTTTTCATAGTTCATTCTTTTATTTCTGAATTTATTTTTTTTATTACAAAGTTTATTTTTACATCATTTTGCACTTTTTTTTTTTAATCTCGATTGTAATCCCCGCGGGTTTCCCATCACCAAATCACCCCTGTGCCACCACCATAGTCTCGTGCATTTCCCTCCCTTCCCCCCCCCATTTTTTATCCCAGTACCAGACTTTTTATACAAAGATGACCCCACTATCAGAAGTCATCTTTTCATTTACATAGTTCCATTTATGTCTTCCTCACTATCAGGTTAGGCTATAGATAGTAGTGCATGGACACACATACACACACACACACACACACACACAACTCTATACCACCCCATATACACTATATAATCTATTATTGGAGAGTGGCCCTATAGCAATTCAGAATTTAGAGGGGTTTTCAGTAGTGATTTGATTAGAAGATCTGTAAAACGTCCATTACATTGGTTCTCTATTCATGATTATGTCGGGGCAGTTTTGGAGGTGTTGTAGCTGTTAGCTATAGTCATATCACATACTCTATCATCTTAGGCAACAGCATAGCATTTTTATACAAGCCTAGGTTTATGGCCACAGAAAAGTAGAGTGGAAAAAGGTCTTGTTTCAAAGTCAGGCTCTGCTGCTGTCATGTTTGCTATGTTACTTAAACTCTCCAATCTTCACTATTTTCATATATAACATGAAGGAGTAGGACAACACATTTCCAGAAAGTATTTGTCTAAAATATTTAAAAATGATTAAAAAAAATTTGGTAAAATCCCAACAAAAGGAAACATATAGAACTAACACTTACATTTAAATAGGTCCAAGGGGAATATGTCTGAGATATACATGTGTGTGCACATATACACACATATTAATCATTGATTAGCATTGTAGATTTAGGCTAAACGGTAAAGCAAAAATAATAATAATAATAAAACACCAGAATACGCTCAATAATATAGAAGAGATGGCATGGGATAGCACTGTTGCTGCCCTGTGCAAAGGACATACAAGGGGGTCTGTATGACACCTGGTTATGGCATACCAGTTCCTAAAGATGGATGACTGCAAAGTAATAATGACCACTTGGTATTTTCTTTTGTGCATATTAAAATTTGTTTCATAAAACAAAAATATTGTGGCACAAAGTAATTAATAAATATTTGTTTAATGAAGAAATAAAATCTGCCTTCAATCTTGGTACAGTGTCCAGCAAGATTGGGATCAGAAAGAAGGTGGCTAAAGGCTTGAGCCCGCCCAGTAGAAAAGGCAGATGATAACTCAACATAATGATCATCGGTTAGACATTTTCTAGCTATATGAATTGTACATAGACATTAAAGGAAACTTCCCTCTTCTGTTTCAGGCCAGCTGCCTTAAAACCACCCAGAACTGGAGAGTTCAGAAAGGGGTCTTCAGAACCACCCAGCTCCTTTGCTTCAGTGTCCTGATCTCTGGTAAACTTTATGCTAACATTTCTCCTGGCCCTGAGGTCAGGGTAAAGGCCAGACCCAACAGAGAAGCTAGGAGTAGGAATCAGCTATTGTGAGACTTAGGAAAACTGTGCAAGCCCAGATTCCTAGAAGAAAAATTTACCATTATATTGAAAGAAAAAACTTCCAGAATAACTCAGATGGATAAGTTTATTGACTAGGCACAGTAAGCTCAGCCCCTATACAAACATTTCAACTTCTTTAAAAATCATTCTTTCCTAAGTCAAAGAAAATATTTTAATAAATTAATGTTCTCGTCTTTATACCAAAGCAATTGCAAAATTTAGTTATTATGTTACTGTGAAAGAAAGGGTATGCAAAGACCAAATTGCTGAGTGTCCATGAAGGTAATAGTGTAAGGTTGGCAATACTAGAATGAAGTCTTACAGCAAAGTAGGGCAAAAAAAGAATCAGTTAGGGAGGGGTAAATGTAATCAGCCCTCTCATGCTTGCAGCAGAGAGGAGGGTTGAATGGGAACAGGGCTTCATAAACAGGGAAGGGACCTATTTCCCAGACTGACTGCTTGCATTAGATAGTAGCCTCTCCTGGGGTGGATGAGCTCCCACTGACTGTGGTAATATCTTGTATAAGGGTGCCTTATATACTTTTAAAGAGTACATTCTTTCTTTCATTCAATATCCTAAACACCCATAAGGATTATTTTGAACTGTATCTTAACAAGTGAGTAAACAGAGATGGAGGAAATAAAATAATTTGTCAAAGAGATAAAGCCAAGACTGCAAACTGAGTGTAAGTTTTCAAATCAGGAGATTTGATTTCTAATCTGTGTTTCCTACAAACCTGATATGTTTCACTCATGGAACAAGTGTTTATTGGATGTCTGGTAAGTCCCAAGCTCTGTATTTGGTACTAAGGATTCACAGCTAAAAAGAGACTACCATCAGGATTTATAACCTAAGAGGTATGGACCAGGTGATAGAAACACATTACAATACATGGTACAAAGGTGCAATGGAAGCTTGGAAGAAGGAACAAGCCTACTGGGGGGAAGGAGAGGAAGGAAAAGTTTACCAGGCATAAAGGGGACAGTCAATCAGGACAGCAGAAGTGTTTAGATTTGGGAGCTATTTTTCTTCAAAAGTAAATATGGTGGGTAGGATGCAGGCCAACAGGTTGACTTTAGTCCATACATTTCTTATCTTCCATGTGAAGATGTAGAGTCTATAAACATGGGGCAAGAATCAGAACACTTTATGTGTCATTTAATTTGAAGTTGGGCAAATTAATTTTTCTCTATTCATAAAAGGTGGTGACAATTATTAGATAAACACCAAGGTCCCTTCCAAATGTGGTTTCTTCTATTCCACATCTTTCATACCAAAGATCCTCGGAGAGGACACTTTCCGCTTCTGATTTTATGGATATTTTCTTTATTTTTCTTTGTATAGAGAAGAATTTCAACTTTACTGAGATAACACTGGTTTATCACACTGTGATTCATGGATCGCATCTCCTCAGATGCATGTCACCACACCACACCCATCTCCACAGCACCCATGTGCTCCATCCCCATCTTCTCTCCACTTTCCCACTCCCGTATGCTCACCTTAATTCAACAGTAATATTTCTAATGTTTGTTATTGGTTTGGCTTTTGACTGGCCCTTTTTTGTTTCTTTATATTCCACACATAAGTGAAACCACGAGATATTTTCTTCCCCTTTGACTTATTTCGCTTAGTACTATCCCCTCTGGTTGCATCCATGTCATAAATGGCAAGAGCTCGTCCTTTAAACACACACACACACACACACACACACACAGAGAGAAAAGTATTTTCTTTAACTATTCATCTGTTCTTGGGCAGTTACATTACTTCATCATTTGACAATGTCAGGAGTGCTGTAATGAATACTAAAGTACATATGTCCCTTCTAATTAGTTTTGTTTTTAGCGTTTTTGCAGACATCAGGCATCTATAATTTTAAGTGAAAGATGGAAACCACTCTTTTTCCTTAAAACAACTAGATTAAGCATAAAACTGTCATGTTTGGGGTAATTGTCTTTTGGTCAGAAACTGCTGACAACAGAAACATATTTATGCTCACACCTCCTGGTGAGGAAGGGATGCTAACCTGGTGCTCTCTTTCCTTTTCTCAGAACTAGTGAATCAGAAAGAAGTGGCAGCATGGACTTATCATTATAGCATCAAAGCATACTCATGGAATCTTTCCCAGGCATACTGCCAGACGTACTATACAGATTTAGTGGCCATCCAGAATAAAAATGAAATTAGTTACCTCAATGACGTCATACCTCAGTACAGCTCTTATTACTGGATTGGGATACGAAAGATAGATAATAAATGGACTTGGGTGGGAACCAAAAAGCCTCTCACGGAAGAGGCTGAGAATTGGGCTGACAATGAGCCCAACAACAAGAAGAACAATCAGGATTGTGTGGAAATTTACATCAAGAGCCCGGTGGCCCCAGGCAAGTGGAATGATGAGCCCTGCAAGAAAAAAAAGCGGGCGTTGTGCTACAAAGGTAGGGTCTCTCTACTCTGAAATTTGGTTGTTTAAAAATTCATTCCTTTCCTGATTGGATAATACAACCTCTGAGTCAATTATGGGGTCACACACCCAGGGACATAAATGAAAACAAAGAATAAACTATTAGCCTACCAGTATCATTGAGTACCTTGAAGAATATAGGATCAAGACTAGAGAAAACTGTCCTTTTGTAGCTAGGAACAATTTTAATATTATTCAGGTCATCCTCATTTTCCAGCTGATAAAATAGATGTTATAATCTAATATACAAAATTATAGTCTCCCAAAGTTTATGTCCAGAGGTGTTTTTTTTTTCTTCACTACTTGTGTCCTAGCATAATAGAGAATATACTGAGAAGGAACTCAGCCTTGCCCCAAGGAGACACAGTATAATGCCCACAGGATGCCAGTAAGCTCCAGACACTGTTACTCGTTCATGTGTTACTAGTCCATTAATTATGAACTGCATTTAGCTCTCATGAGAACCTCATCAATTAGGTTTGTCCAGTACTCTCATTTTGCTGAAGAGGTAAAGGCTCAGCTATCAAGGGATATGCACAAGGTACTAAGCTACTTGACAAATAAGACCAGTTTCAAAACTCCAGAGTTGGTGTTTTTAGCCACCTATGCTCCCACATTCTTTTGCTAGCACACACTTTTCTTGACATTCTCATGAGACAACTTGAGAACATGAGCAAGGATCACCAATGCTTTACAGATTCCCATACAACACAGCTTCAGATTCCCACAACAACTTTGTCAGGGTTGGAGTGAGTGAGGAAAACCAAGATGTAACTGAAAGTAAGATCCTGGCAGTATATTTGATTCTCAACTCTCCCAGTTCTAAAGTTAGCACATATGCACAAAAGCTTGTTTCTTCCTGTAGTCACATGCCTGGTACTAGAACTGATCCTAGCTGTCTGATGTGGCTTGCATCCAGAGAAGCCCCTCCCACCCTGGGTAACACAAAACACCAGGGCTAGGAAGTGCATTCATTGCCCTGAGCAAGAGAGTTGTGAACACTCTTTTATAAATCATCTTACAGATGTATACATATACACTCTGCTATATATATCCTACATTCTTTAGATTATAGACACCTTCCCTTGGAAGCCCTCACCAATAAGGAAAAGAATACACAATATATCTGTTGGTGGCTCTCTTTGTGCCTCTGTGTCCACAAAAAAGCAGTTCCTCCCAAGGGAATATTAGATGCAGCCCAAAACATAAGCCCCATGAAACTCCAGCATCATGTTCCCTCTCTCGGGCTGATCGCCAGAGAATGCTGTGGACTTGTGTTCAAGCTGGCACAATCTTACCCAAGAGGCTGAGTCTGTGACCTGGAACAAGAATCCAGCTTTTCTGCATGTCTCCTGGGAATGCCCATGATTCTGACCCTTCTGTGTTTGTGCAGCCTCCTGCCAGGACATGTCCTGCAGCAAGCAAGGCGAGTGCATCGAGACCATTGGGAACTATACCTGCTCCTGCTTCCCTGGGTTCTATGGACCAGAATGTGAATATGGTGAGGCCACTATTGTTTTTGATATTATGATAGTCTTTGGCTTTAGTTGAGTTGAAGCTAGGCTGTAGATCATACTGGAGATTCCAATATGAATACATGCTAATTCTAGATGCTATCAGCTGTCAATCTGTACCAATCTAGTGGTACTAGAGACACACTTTAGGTAAAAACACTTCACTTAAAATATCTGCTCACAAAACTTCAAAGCTAAAATGAAAATGTAAAGGCAGCAAAGAAAAGAGAGCTCTTTCTGGTTAATTTTACTTGCTTGAAATATGAACCAGTGAAAGAGTGGTGAATTTTATGTGGTTCCAACTCAAGAACCACATAAAGAGGATGAGATTGGGTTAGGAGCCTAAGGAGACAGCTCCAGCTTTCAGCAAATCTGACATTGTCTTTCAGCCTGCAATGAAAAAAAAAAAAATCAATATTTTGTCTCCACAGTCACAGAGTGTGGAGAACTTGACCTCCCTCATCATGTGCTCATGAACTGTAGCCACCCTCTGGGAAAATTCTCTTTCAACTCAACGTGCAGTTTCCACTGTGCTGAAGGTTACAAGCTGAATGGACCCAGCAATGTGGAATGTTTGGCTTCTGGCATCTGGACAGATAAGCCCCCAAAGTGTATAGGTATATCCCCCCAATTCTTTATATACTTATAGACAATTAGAATTACAGAGGGGAGAATAAACTTTCCTCTTGAAAACAATCAGGATCAACATTAGATGGGAAATCCTGTTATTCCAATTACCTATCAACCAGCATGACACTAATTGTAATTGCTATGGTACTTCTTACCTGTAAAGTAAGGTCATTTGTTTAACTCTTTATTGTCTGGCAAATAAATTACAAAGGGATGTCTAGCCCTTCATTAACTGCAAAGTGAGTACAAAGTAAGTAGTGAGAACTTATGAATTGAGTCTTATTATGAGATCATTTAACTTGAATCTTGAAAAAGTAAGTCAATATTAAGGGCATTTGGATCTTTTCAAATAGCTACTGAAAGTACCATTTAACCAACAAGCAAACCACCTTGCCTATCATTGGGGAAATTAAAGATAGTTGCTGCCAAACCCAAAAGTTTCCAAGATGCTGAACATAAACATGGACTAAGGATCTCTGGTTGTTTTTCGCTACCTAGTACCCAGGCCTAAAGACTCCAGAGCAAGGTAGCATGACCTGTGTTCACACTACAAAAACATTCCCACTATCATCCAGCTGCAGGTTCAGCTATGAAGAAGGACTTGAACTAGTTGGGTCAGAGGTGGTACGGTGAACAGCTTCAGGGACGTGGACAGCTTCGGCTCCAGTGTGTAAAGGAGAGTTTCAGATAGTTGGGGAAGTAGAGTGCCTTCTTGGAAAAAAAAAAAAAAAAGATGAAATTGGCTATGAATTGCCATGACATGTTTCTCCTCTGGGACGGCAAAAGAGTGCCAGCCTCTAGAAAAGCATGGGGATGATATCACTACAACAGAATTCAAAAAACTTTCCTTCCCTAAGACTCACAGCCACTACATACTGTCAGGATGACCTCATTTATGCATTTCATATAAGAGGGGAAAGGAGGGTAATTATAAATAGAAGCTGGAAGGAATAGAGGAATGGAGGAGTCTGTATTTTTAAGAGATTCAGGTCACCTTGAGACCAACTCCAAGTCTGGGCAAACCTCATTAGAGTCTCCTTCCCTTCACAGACCTTCGCTCCACCTGGATTTCCATTACTATTACTTTCCACTTGTGGGCATGGATTTGCTAATTACAAAATGAAACCAGTACAATAATGAGAATTTAAGGGTTGATTATAATTAATATGATCATTTTAGCTGTGGCTTATGTCCTAAACTTGAAAGAGAGTTTCTTTTTAATTTTTTCTTTAAAGATTTATTTATGCATACAAAAGTGTAGTACAGGCCAGAGGTTCAGAGGTGGTGAGAAGACTCACCAGAGTCAGAGTGGGAACAGAACATGCCGGCTGACTAAGTACACTACTTAGGAGAGCAGCAGGTGGGTCAGGAGAGGTCTGCCTACCATATGGACCACCTCTGGGGCAGGGGTTGTATTCACACTGAAGTGGCTGCAACCAGCTTGCAGTGCTGTGTCCTAGCCCATTGCGCCACTAGGGAGGGCCTGTTTCTTTTTTAAAGTGACTATTAGGACAAAAATAGAGATTCCTCCTCATAGTGTTTGGTGGTAGATCTCAACAAAGGAGCAAAGGAACAATGTGTAGAAAGAGTACAATGCAATCCTAAGCAGTTACATAAAATTACAAAACTAGATTTTGTGCTGTTGCCTCATACCCTCAGTTATAAGACAGGGTAAGTAGGGTAGCAGGAAATTAAAGGTTGGATTAATGAATTTCCAGAAATTCTAGATTACAGTCCCAGTTTTGCTACTTTCTGAATATGAGGCCTTTGGGAAGTCACTCACTTTTGTCATCTCTAAAGAAAGAGAGAATCACTACAAGATCTTTGCTTCTTATCTTCCCCAATTTTGTAAAGTCCAGAAGTCAAAGGCCATGATATACTCTTGAAATCCCCAAGATTAGCCTGAAGATGAAATGCTTTATGAGAAAGAGTATGAAGAAACCAGATTTTATCACAGCTGATTTTACTCATTGCTCAATTGTGCTCAGGAACTTAGTTTGGGTTGCAATCACTTGGCAATTGGAATCTGATTAGGATGGCATCCTGTGTTTCAAAGACAAAGCCCACTTGAATCATTTGGTAAATCTAGGTAATAGAGTGACAACAATAAGTTATGTTAGTTCAGCCTTTTCCTTAAAATCCCAGCCTCTTTATATTTACTCTTTCCAGATCCACCTCCAAGCCCCAAGTTGAATAGACAGAAACAGTCTCCTAAGGAAAATGAAGACTAAGTTGAGACTCAAGGGGCAGGGACCTGGGAAAGTGTTCTAGGAAAAGGGAGAGTTAGGGTTCTGAACATACTAACTATAGGTAGGAAAGATGGACCCTCTCTCAAGGGACTCATCTGAGAAAGAACTGAGCCCTTCCATCGCCCAGTTTCACATGATAACTTTCTCCATTTAGCCATTGCCTGTGAGCCACTGGAGAGTCCTCTCCATGGGAGCCTGGACTGCTCCCCATCCTTGCGAACTTTTCAGTACAACAGTAACTGCAGCTTTCATTGCGCTGAGGGGTTCACGCTGAGAGGAGCTGACATAGTTCGGTGTACTAATTTCGGACAATGGACAGCACCAGCCCCAGTCTGTCAAGGTAAATTTACATGTTCCTTCTGTGCTTGCAGCTTATTAAAGGCCTCGGCACTGGCATTTAGCATTTTCAGTCAGTTACTCAACAGACATTCACTAAGACCCCTATTGTATGCCAGGCTGTGTTGGGCTCTAAGATGAAGTGGTGGGTGAAGCCAATCCAAGCACAACATGTTCATTATAAAACATTGTTACTCAGTGTGAGGCACACATGGGGTGGGTTGGTGTAAAGGTGATGGGGGTAGGGAGGAAGGAAAGCTACATGAGGAGCAGCATGGAATGGTGGAAAAGTCATGGATGAGGCCTCTTATTGAGCTCGGTCATTTCCTGGCAACAAGTTTTGTCCTTCTGAGTCTTGTTCTTTTCAGTAAAATGGGAATACCTCTGTCTGCCTTACCTGCCTACCTCACTAGTGGCAGTGAATGACTGTGTGTAAGTACCTTACAAATCAAATGTAGGTAAAATAATGAGGATGCTGAAGACATTACCTTAAAAGTGTGATCTGATTTTATAAAATGATTTTCTTTTCATAGTTCATGCTCTCTTTTAAAGAATTAGGCACAGGAAGATCATTGGAATTATTCTTTAAAATGGGGCTCCCCACACATAAGTCATGTCCCAGAAGGCACGGTCAACATTTTTGTGTTGCCATTTACTGGGATCCCAAGACAATTTATTTGAATCCCCTGGGTCTATGTATATTCTCATTTTTAAATGAGGCAGTGATTTAAAGGAGGGTCTTAAAAAGAGATTTCTACATGTTCACAGCAGCATTCCACATGTTCATAATTATTTAAAATGTAAATGTGGAAGCAGCCCTAATGTCCCTCAATAGATAAATTTATTAGTAAAATGTGGCATATACATATGATGGAGTATTATTCACTTTTAAAAATGGAGGCAATTCTGATGTATACTACAATAGGGGCAAACTTCAAGGACATTATGCTAAGTAAAATAAGTTAGTCACACACAAAAAAATTGTTTGATCTCACTTATATGAGGTACTTGGAGTAATCAAAATCATAGAAGCAGAAGTAGGATGGTAGGACTGGGACTAAAGGGTTGGGGAATAAGTGGTACAGTTTAACCAATGTGGAGTTGTAATTGGACATGATGAAAACTGTTCTGGTCATGGATGGTGGCACCACTACAAGAATTCACTTAATACTATGGAACTGTGCATTTAAATAGAGTTAAGTGGTAAACTGAAAAACACAACAATGAGGCAGTAGAGGAATAGAAGACCATGCACCATGACAATGAGGTTTAGTAAGAGTGACATATTGGGTATATTGTGGAAGTATTGTCCGAGAGAGACATAAAGAGACCTTTCACATGTTTAAAACAGAGAGAACTTTGGTAAAGTTCTAATAATAGAGAAAAGATAGGGGTATCCTTTTAAACATTCAGAAAAGTGGTCTCACTCTTTGGTAGGCCCTTTCTCACATTTTCCACTCTGACATTCAGGGTCTGCATCTGATGTATAACTTTAATGCTATTATCTCTACCTATTACTTCTACTACTACTGCTATTCCTACTACTGCTAATAATTGTAATAAGCAGATATGTGTTGAGTATATAAGTCTAATCCAAGAGGTTGTTACAATTAATGCTCACATAAAGAGGAGAAAAGACATACATAGAATATAAAGACATAACAGGAGAATATATGTTCTCTCTGTATGCAACCACCTATTTTAATGATTGATATCATGGAGTATAAATCATTTTTATTCTTCATTTTAACTTAAGATTACACATTGAGAAATGCTCCATAGCTTTTTAATGTGAAATACACATTTTTTTTTTAAGATTTATTTATTCATACAGAACTGGGGTACAGGCCAGAAGCTCAGGGGCGGCGAGAGGCTTTACCAGAGACAGAGTGGAAAGCAGAAAAGGCAGATTAACGAAGTACACTACTGAGGGGAGCAGCAGGCAGGTCAGGAGAGGTCAACCACGCCATGTGGTCACCTCCGGGGCAGGCGGGAATAGAACTCATGTGGAAGTGGCTTCAGCTTTTCAGTGCTGTGCTTTAACCCGCTGCGCCACCAGGGAGGGCCAAAATACACAATTTTTAATGAGCTTTAATTTCTCTTTCATGGATCCACCATAATTTATTTTCAGCCTCTTATCAGTGGCATTTATGTTTGTTTACAATACTTTGCTCTTAAAAATAATATCTTGATAACAAAGAATTTGTGAATTGATAGTTATAAGCATTTGATTATATACTTAGCATCGATTTTAAGGTCCTGAAGTATGACATTTTAAAGATTATTGTTACATATTAACAAAATCTTCAGCATTTTCCTCATAAAATCCTTCATGTGCCATTGTGATTAAATGACACTTTTCTTATATTCCAGCCTAAATATGTTCAATTCCAAAATCCCTTGGCACTAGACAGGGTTAAGAGGTAGAAATCCATGAGTACATGTGCCTTATGGTTTCTTCATTCCCTTACTTCCTCACTCCTTAGCTGTACAGTGCCAGGATCTTCTGGCTCCACACAAGACCCAAATGAATTGCTCCCACCCCTTTGGTGCCTTTAACTACCAGTCAACCTGCAGCTTCACCTGTGACAAAGGCTTACTACTGGTGGGAGCAAGCGTCCTGCAATGCTTGGATACTGGGGAGTGGAGTGCTCCTCCTCCAAAATGCCAAGGTAAGATGGATTCTTTCCAGCATCTTGGGGAAAAAATTGCTGTATTTTTGAAGGCTATATTTTAGAGATGGTAACTGTCAATGGGTCAGACACAAGAAAAGAACTGGAAAGTGAATAAACATGTTCATGCTGTAACTTGGGGATCCCAAGTCTTCACGGCTCCTACCAACTCCTTACAAGGTCCTTTAATAGAACTTGTAGGGTGCTATTGTGAACCAGGTGAACTTTTGCATCTGGACACAAATAGTATCTGAAAAGGAGGGAAAAAATAGCTTGAGGATGATTGTCCCAAGGCTGACCTACACTTTACTCCAAGGAGTCATGGAATATAATGACAGAATGGGAAACAATCTATGGGTATCATAGTGGAATAGGAGGGAGAGAATGCATAGGTGCCTGGCTACAAATATCCTCCAAGAGGATAAAGAGGAAAGTGATTAAAAGAGAAAGAAACTATCTATAAATGCAAGATGACACAATTCTCAGAAAAAGAAACATGCATATTTGGCACATGCATGTATATCTACATTGTTCTTCATAGAATATCGTATGAAGTAAAACTATTTTGAATCACCTATGTGTGGGAATTGAAGACCACACATATATAAAATGCTTTTTATATGCCCTATTCCTTTTTCTACTCAATGAATCTGATTCTTTAGTAACTTTTTTTGACAAATACTTTCAAAAAGCAAGGTTTTCATTTGTAGAAGCTAGAAAAAAAAAGAAAATAAAGAAACAGAAAGAATCTTCTTAAATACCTTCATACCTTCACCCTGATTAGACACTGTTTTAGCATTCTTATGTGACTCTTCAATATTTTCCCCAGTGAAATTAGTATATGCATCTATAATTTTAATAATAAACTTAAGTAGGCAAAATGCTAGATAATTCTGAATTGTTTGCCTTTGTTTTTCACTTCATATACTTTCAGCATCTGAGTGAAAGTGAGCAGATATGTGTTTTTAATTAGAGGAAACCACTTGCTATACAGACCACATATGAGCATGTAAAAACACACACACGCACACACACCACTGCTAAGATAGATCAATTGTAAATGAATGAATAAATGAACAAATGCAGCAGAATTGACTGCAGGCCCCAGAGAATGTGGGTGGTTCTCTACTTGAGCTAGGGATGGGTTCACCTTCCAAGCCGGGTCTGAAGTGACATGGGGGGGTTATGAAATTTCCCCCTCAGGTCTCATCCTGGAGAGTTACAAAATCCACACACTTTGGGGAAAAAATGCGAGTCCCTGCATAGGGTTTGCAGAGTGATCAGAACTCTTCCAGGCAATATGGGCTATGCAGGGCACAGACTACGTTTCATTGCCTCATACTGTCTTGCCCTTGTGTGTTTCACAGCAGGGAGGTGGCCACTTACCACATGATTTCCAGTTCCAGTTCTCTTCTGCTTTTAGTTCTTTGTTTACACTAACTAAACTTCTCTTGCTACTGTTTGAACATGCAGTGAAATACCCAAAAAAACAGGCTGGACAGGAAGGTGCCATGAAGCCTGCAATTCATAAGCTGTTGCAATACTTCTCAGAGAGTGTTATCAGTCAATTTCCCTTTTCATTGTGCCTTAGCCCTACCCAAGTGATAAGATAGCCCAGGCCATGAAAGAGTTGGAAATGGACTCCCTGACATAAGACCCTCCAATCTGTCCATACAGTTTATAGGTTTCTCAACATGTCTGCTGTCCTCCTCCCTCACAGTCTTACCACACACATAAATGCTGCACACATAAAGATTTTTGAAATGGCACAAAATATAGTTAGATCTTTGGACAAGGTCATTAGATTGGATTGAATGTTCACTGGAAAGGGAAAAGAATGAAGGGAGGATAAAGGTACAGAAAATATGCTTGAAACCACAAGCTGTTCAAAGCAGTGATTAAAGAATGGCCCTACATCCTGCCATATCACCACTACATGTGCATGCTCAGACCAATCCATGAAGAAATACCCCAAACCATGTGTTCTCTCAATTTTCATTTTGTAATTTCAATATATATCATCTTTTTTGTTCCATTAGGTGGCAGAGTAACTTCTTGACAGTTAATAACATTTGCATACAGAGCATTTTTACTTTTGATCCTTGTAAAGTTCCTAGAGCTATATCATGCTATTCTGCACATTTTAAAGGTAAAGAATTTGAAGCTCAGAGAGGTTAGGTGATTTTCCAAAAGCCAGTGCAAGAGCTCCAACATAAGCAAGTCCCATAGCACTTCACACTCTGTATGTGTAAACTGACAACCACTTACTTTTTTGGTAAGTGAGGAAGTATTCTTTTAGGGCTAGCCTTTGTAGGACAAGACATATGGAAAAAGTATTTGCAGATGTCCATTTGCCTTATGTACCTACTTTGTGTCCATGATTGTCCAAATATTTTAAAGTTTAGTTTTCATAACATGATTTATTTTTCTAAAACCAAAGATCCCTGCAAAACAAGGATTATTATTTCCCCCCATTTCACAGATGAAGCAATTGAGACTCAGAAAGCTTAAGGTCCCTAGATATAATGTAAGAGCCAGGATTTGAACCCAGTTTCTTTTCATCACCTGAGAAGGAGAGGAATTTTTAGAGTGGGATGGGAGAAGTCTTTTACTCATTTTTCCTATTTCCAAGCAATTGCTTTTGCTTTCTGGCAAGGTCTGTTTCTGGCAATGTCAATGTAGTAGCCACTTCTACTCCTGTCCAGGTGAAATGCACTGCATCATTATTTTCAAGCAAAGTACCATTCTTTTTTAAAATCACCTCTAAAGCTCTTTGTGGGTGAGAATTTCAGAATGCCAGTCAGCTGCAAGCTGCTATATTTTATACATCCATGACCTCCACCTGGTGATAAAACTCTGTGAAATTCAAATAATCATTCTAACCAAAGCTTTCTTTGTATATTAAGGATACACACACACTTTGTTGATTTCAGGCTGTTATGCTCTAAAACAATCTTTCCTCCTCTCCCATGTCCATAGCCAGCACCTGCACACCTCCGCTAAGCCCTCAGAATGGAACAATGACCTGTATACAACCTCTTGGAGAGTCTAGTTACAAGTCCACATGCCAGTTCACTTGTGATGAGGGATTCTCTTTATCTGGACCAGAGAGATTGGATTGTACACCATCTGGACACTGGACAAATTCCCCACCAAGGTGTGAAGGTAGGCTCACCGTTTTATTCTTTTTTATGATATCTTAGGCAATATTACAGGATGGAAAATCATTGTGGAATAGTGTGAAGCTATCCTTAAGCTAAAGTAACACACTTTCCATCAAGCATGGTTGTCTAGAGCAAAAGCTCTTTCTCCCTTTCTGTGCATAACATGTAAATTTATTCTTTTCCATTTACCCAGGTTGCTGCTACAATGCTGAAATGTACTTAGAAGTGGCAGTGTGACGAGCAGATGATGAATCTATTGATAGAAATACATTAATGTTATATGGAAAAAGCAAAAATCTTTACTCCTTCTTGTGGAATGAAAGAGCAGTAGAAAACTAAAGACCTGTGTTGCTCTTTTTTGAAATCAGATGTCGTATCATACCTGATTTCCGATTCCAAAAGGAGTGCACTAAATCATTGCTGAGATCCCTTTTCTGGACAAGAATTTTTTAGGTTGAAGTACATAAAAATGCCACCACCTACTGTCCAAAAAGTATACTACAAGCCCACTCAGGATGTTAAATGCATAATCTTCAAATCCTCTTCCTCTCCTCACTCCTCGCCAGCCCCCCCCCCATCCCACACTTTAGTTCCCACCCAACCTAATGTTTAGATCCAACCCTGATTATGGAAAGAGCTTTAGCGAAGAGGGATGCCAGAATCATCAACTAGCCTGAGGCTGGTTTCACGTCATTCTCCAAATTTAGTCTACAAATTTAGGCAAAGAGTACTTCTTCCTTACCACATGCCAGAGTCTATGAATTTTTAAGTCAACACCAACCCCAGGACCCTGATTTTCACATAGTGTTTTAGGGAGTCCTAGCTATATCAGAAGGTCTTGGGCATCACCAGGGGATATGTGAAAGTCCTTTACTTCAGAGTACTATGTGAGATTTTGATTAGAGCGGTCCCACTGATATTTCCTTCAGATCATCTGGGACTTGGGCTCTGCCTATCCAATCCTCTTCCTCCAGACCTGGAGTGCATTCCCTGAATGCTAAGCATCGTTGACTTACTCTTATCCAGTTGCTGTGGTCCCCACACCCCCATCTGTTGGGTCACTGTCCTGCAGAGATAACTGCACTCTGAGATCCAATCACTTTGTCACTCACCCTCTGGTGACCATGTTTGGCTGGTGGACTGAGCGCCTAATAACCAGCCTCACCTTGGTGGGAAGAAGAGGTTCTGGTTCCAAGTCCCCATCCTAGTTGCATCTTGTCCCTGCTCATCTGACTTCTAAAATATATAAATTCGTGCCCTCTCAGTTCTGACCTGGCTCACATCTCTATTTTTTTTTTCTCTACATTTTCAACATTTCTCTAGGTGTTCCTAGTCTTCATTTTTGGAGTTTGAGTTTAGAACACTGCGACACTTAAACTTATTTACCCTCTATCTTCATTCCAAAAATTTCTTGATAAAAGTAATATCTAGTTCAAAGTAAAAATAAAAAGAAAGAACTTGTTTTTTCTTAGAAGGATTTACTAAATCTACTTAAAGTAATATAAATGAACATGTTGTAAATCGATATAGACTCCCAATGAAACTAATAATCCATGAAGTCACATACAATCCAGATTTTCTGGATTACAGAAAGACAACGTTGAAGGCAAGCTGATAGACTGGTCTATCTCAGAAATCAATGAAAGCAATTCTAATCAATTTTCTATTTATCTGTAATTACCTGTTTTGGAGCAAAGTTTTACAGTAAGCTCAAGAATATGACTACATTTCAAAGTTACTCCTAGACGTCATTCCTTAGCAAAACTCTCTCTACATCTGCATGAGGACCCTTTATTCCAATAGCTCCTGTTTGCCCAGGCCCACCTTATCCCAAGCCATGGTTAAGTTTTCATGTACCTTATCAGGACTACACCTCAGAGAGGAAAACATACTTCCGGACACAAGTCAAAGTCAAACCTTAAAGTTATACTGAGGTCTTTAATTTGACAAGGTTAATTTTTACATCAGAGGGCTCAGAGACTTTTAAAGACACAAATAGCAGGCTCTATAACCTTGACAGGATAAGCATAAGAATTGTGACCAAAGCAATATCCCCAGAGGATTTTATGTTGTAGTAATTCTCTTTGTATTAAGCCAGTCACTTAAATCAATTTTTAAAATAGTTGTTCTTGTTTTTTTTCAAGCCAGGTAAAAAAAAAAAAAAATTAGAGTACATCCAAATTAAATTTTGCTAGCTTATTTATCCATTTTAGCAAATATTTTTAGCATCTCTGGCCACATTCCCTGGGATATAAGACTTGTGTTTTCAGACATTTGACTTTATGAACTCTCTTGGGCTTAAATATGAAATATTAGGAGACTTTAGGAAAGTTAAGGTAGTGAAAATGTTCACAGGTAATTTAGTGTCTATGATTTATAAAAGATATATTTAATAAATGTTTGATTAATAAAATTGAACAGCCAAGTATAGACTTATTGATCACTCAAAAATGTAAGAGTATTAAATTAAAAACCAGTTTGCTACTTTGGTTGTTTTGAGTGGATTCATGCAATAAAATTCCACAATCCTTTGGTGAATTACCTGAAAAAAACATAAGCCATAATATAAAAGAAAATGTCACTTTTGTTTGAGGCATTACAAAAGAACTTTTTTTTTTTTAAGATTTATTTATTTATGCATACAGAACTGGAGTATAGGCCAGAGGCTCAGGGATGGTAAGAGGTTTCACCAGAGACAGAGTGGGGAACAGAACAGGCAGATCCACGAAGTACACTGCTGAGGGGAGCAGCGGGCGGGTCAGGAGAGGTCTGCCACGACATGTGGTCACCTCCGGGACAGGCGGGAATCAAACTCATGCGCGGAAGCGGCTTTAGATTCTCAGTGCTGTGCTTTAAACCGCTGCGCCACCAGGGAGGGCCTCAAGAACTATTTTTAAGGTAAAATAGTTAAGCAAAATGAACCTTTCTTGACCAAGGCATTGCTTTCAGAATAACCTTAAATTTTGCAGAAACAATAATCACTGTGCTTATTAATCATCTAATGTTTGTTGATAAAAGACTTATGTCAGGGGACTTAATGAGAAGAATATTATATGATAAGAGAAATATATAACTGCAATAATCTATACAAAATATTTTTTGAGGAAAATGGTTAGTAAGAAAAATTTCTCTCTTCATCTACTTGGCAAATGGTTTCTGACCACAAACTCTGAGATCCTGTAGCATGGGTTGTGGGAAACACAAGGTTTATGGTTCTTGGGTTTTAGAATCTTTTCATCCAGTAGAAAAGAAATGCCATGTGATATTATGAGTTAAAACAAGAAAAGGACATAATAGTTTGCAGAGATTAGTAGAGATTTTGGAGAGGAGCCTAGAGGATGGGTGAGATTTACTCAGTGGAAGTAGGAAGAATTTCAGGACAGTGAGCAAACAGCTGGGGATAAAACACATGAGATCAGTTTAGGGAATCCCAGGAATTAACCTAGCTTGACCAGGAGCTGTTAAGCTTTCCTGTGCTATGGAATTGTGGTATTAACAAAATAGTCTAGGGACCCAAATAGTGGAAATAAATAATTTTGGATGAAGATTATCAAGAGACTGCCAGGAGAAAGTAGTCTTAGGTAGGAGGAAGGGCAGAGGTGAACTCTTAAACTTCACTCACACAGGCTAATGAGAGCTGTGGGTGGCTAGAAGTTTTCTTTAACAGGTGTAGAGAGAAGAGGATTGTGAGTATGACTGGTTAAATTCTTTAGTTTTCATTTTTATGACTTCTTATACTCCTCTCAGCAAGCCCACTATCCCTCCCCTGACCTCTGTAGTAAAAGAACTGTCATACTTGTTATGGAAAGCCTGCTTGTTTATACTTGTTGACAGAGTAGGTACTCAGTAAATATTTGTTGAAAATACAGCTGAATGAATGAATTGGTGCAAAAAGCTTCTAGACGAACTTGCAGCTTTGACGGTCTTGATTTGATTCTGCAGCCAGCAAGTGCCCAGAATTATTTGCCCCAGAGCATGGAAGCCTGGATTGTTTGAACACCCACGGAGAATTCAATGTTCGCCCCACCTGTCATTTCTTCTGTAACAAGGGCTTTAAGCTAGAGGGCTTCAACAATGTTAAATGCACAGTTTCTGGAAGATGGACAGCACCTCCTCCAACTTGTAAAGGTAAAATGACATATGCTTACTGAGAATTCTTTCTCTGGGAACTTCTTCGGCAAAATTAACAGACATTTAAGTAAACTCTTACTATGTGACAGGAACATACTATATTATTATTACTATTTCTTGTTATGAAGTAGGTTATCTATGGATTAAAATTTTATGAGGAGAAAGGACCTTTTATACTTGTGCACAAAAATATTTATTCTTATTTTTTATAATTTTAACCTCCTCTTCTCAAAGAGCTCTATTAAATTGAACTATTTTCACTGTTTCACTGTCAGAGAGACTAGAAGGAGGGAGACTTAACTCACTGGTCCAGTTCTTCAAAGTGGGGAGAATATCTTTCTGTCATATCACAAGTTAATAACAACAAATCCAGTAATATTATCCATCCCAGTAACATTATTCATCATATTTCATGGTGGCCTTTGGCTAGAGGACAGCACCATCTCCCAATAAAGCAGCAATTGCACCAATTGGTCTACATATATTTCATTTTCTACAGAATCTCTTATTTTTGTTTTGTTTTGAGCATCAATAATATTAGTACACACATGCCCTCCACTTTTTCCTTCTGGTCAAGAGAATCATCTCTGAGGACACCTTTAAATAATTTTAGGAGATCTCTAAATTGAAACATTTTCACACAGCAGGCAGAGTATCAGCTCTTAATCCAGAGGTGTCTAACTCTCATTCCAGACCAGGAAACAATGTCCTGTAGGCATCATCTGGGAATGTTTGGTTGAATACCACTTTGGATACAAAGCTGTATTCACACTCATGGGAGATAATGCTCTCAGATGTAGACTTTTGGGACAATGGGCAGCAGTAACTCCAACATGCAAAGTAATGTGAAAAGGAACAGGCAGTTGTAGATGTCTAAACTGTGTTAGAATAATAAACATGCTAAATATGAACCCAGCTGTTATGAATTGTGGAATGCAAGTTGCTATTCTATTAATTATGTGACAGTATAAATTTTCCATATGTTCCTAATTGGAACCTAAGTAAAAAGGTAAAATATAGATGTCTCTTGAAGAGCTGTTACCCTTAAATGAAGTCTATGTCTCTTTCAGTTTTGTATTTCCCATGAAGCACAGAACAGTGCTTTGCAAATATAACTACACTCAGTAACATTTATTTACATTAAATTTAACTTCCTGAATTTTAGTTTCCTATGCAGAAAATAGGGAGAATAACCTGTAACTCTCCAGAAAATAATTTAAAAGGATGTTAGTCTGTTCTTTCAAACTTTCAAAGGTCACCTATGTTCAGTGCTTAAGTAATTTAATAAACACATATTATATTCCAACTAATTTCTAGTAGTGATACTGTTTATAAAAACAGCATTTTTTTTTCTGGAATTTTTGTAGGCAAGACAGATCAGTCCTTGAGCAGGCCATTTATGGAATGAAAATCTGTGCCCACACTGCTTCTTTGACTTTAATTTTCTGAGTGAATATATCAGTGTGATGTTGGAGGAACGAACTTAAATGGAAGCAGCTCATTGTCTTTCTAAACTTTAATAGTCTATCTCACTCTACTGATAACGCAGGAAATCATAAAACCATAATTTCTTTCATCATCATTCTGTATGTCTGCTTTTCCTACACTCATTTTTTTCTGCAGCCATCAAATGCTCTGAGCTACACATAGTTGAATCAATACTGATGAATTGCACCAATGCTTGGGGAAATTTCAGCTATGGATCAATCTGCAGCTTCCAATGTCCAGAGAGTCGATTACTTAATGGCTCTGTGAGAATAGCATGCCTAGAGAATGGCCAGTGGTCAGCTACCATGCCAACATGTCAAGGTATGTTTTTCCTATGGGTTAGAAAGTCATTTTGATACAGAAAATAACAAAATCAGTGCTTCTTTTCTGTGTAGTCTTGTTTTGTATCACTGAATTTACTCTGTGTCATAAATGTTTCATAATTAATCAAGTAGATTCTCCTTGCCTTATATGGAACAGTGGAAATTAAATTCAATAACTGTGTGCCGACAATCACCTTTTTTCAGAGCTCAGATCTGTGTGTAATATATCTTAAAATTACAAAATGTTTGAAATTAATTCATGCAAATTCCTAATTTATTATCTTAGAAAAAAATATTGTCTTGCTCATACCTCTAAAACCACCACGTATCTGTTATTAATGAACTGCATCTATTTATAAGATTTATCTCTTCTCCTGCCTTTTTTTTTAAATCAATCATTTTCTTAAGATTGATTTTTATTTGTTTATGCATACAAGAATTGAGGTGTAGGCACAAGATGCATGCGGTGAGAGGATTTACCAGAGACAGAGCAGGGAGTAGAACAGGCAGATCTACTGAAATACACTGCTGAGGGGAGCAGTGGGCAGGTCAGGAGAGGTCTGTGGTGCCATGTGGGTCACCTCCCTGGGTAGGGATTAAACTCATGCCACAGTGGCTAGTGATACTTTGATAGTGCTGAGACTTTAACCCCTGTGCCACTAGAAAGGCCCTCCTGCCTTTTTTCTTTTTTGTTCTCTAGCAACTTGGCGATAGCCAATTTTTGCTGCACAACTTAGTCTGATTGCCCTTCCCCACCACCAAGCAAAACTACCTATGGTTTATTAATCCAAACTTCCATTTCTTTTGTCTATCCTTAAATTCTCTTTATTAGGTCCTTCCCCTTTTCTCCTTTAAAATTCACCTGTGATAGTTAAGCGTTAAGAACAAAATCAGGCTCTGCTTCTTATCCTCTGCAGTGGTTTTGTGACTTTCAGATCTTGTGTCTGACTTTCAGCACTTTGATGATCTTATATGACCTCCCATTGTAGAGTCCTCAGGACGCTTGCACAATACACTTATAACTGTGCTTGTGTACGTATGTTTTACAGCGGCACCACTGACTATCCAGGAAGTCCTAGCTTACATTGGAGGAGCAGTGGCTTCTGTAACAGGCTTGGTGATGGGGGGAACACTCCTGGTTCTGCTTAGAAAACGTTTCAGACGAAAAGGTAAATAGGAAAGAGGGTGCTCCTTATTATCTTCTTTTGTGTGATTTGGGGTGGAGCCATGTGGCCGCAACTTCAGTACTTCATGTTTGAAAACATTTACATTAAAGAAACAGGGCCAAGATAAAGTGATCTTGAGAAGTGGTTACCCATCAGAATCAGCATTACCAAAACACAGAACTTCACAAAAAATAAAGCTGCTCAAGGAGATCTGGAGATGAGCAACCTAAATTTTTCAAAATCTCCTCCCTCCAAAGTCTGATAAAGTTAGATTGATGACATGTTGGCATTTGGGGGCCTCTGGTCCAGGTAACATTAGTTGTCAACTAAAAGTAGTTGGAAAAGTGTCATATTCCTTCACTCATTCTTTCATGCTAAAGTCAGAATTGGTCAACTGTGCTCAATAGTGGAACCCAAAGGGATGGTTCCCTGATACTGAGAATGTATAATTCAGTAGGATAAGGAGACAAACAATTTAAATCAGTGCTAATATTGAAGCGTACTTAGTTTAACAAAAGTACTGCCTAAGTATGACTGGAACACAAAATAGGTATCTAATTCAAACTGATGGGTTAGAAAGGGTTCTTCTAAAATTAACTTTGAAGAGTGAGAATGATTTTGCCAAGAAAAAAAACATGGATGTTGAGTCCCAGCAGAAAGAATGGTATGTGAAAAGACCTGAAATAGTGAAATAACTGGGCTGGTGGTCTGGCCAGTTGTTTAATGCATCTAAATCAGAAAAGGCTGGTAGAGGAAGTGAATAATAAAACAGGAGGAGGAGGAAGAACTGCAGCCTTACTAAGGACTTGGATGTAAGCTAAGAGACATGTTCATTCTCATGTAAACTTGAGGAACCAATGTAGGATTTGACAGGAAAATGGCCAAAATTGATGAAGCTCCTCTGTAAGGGAACCTATGTTTATCAGTGCACTTACCAAAAATAGATCTGGTTTAGGAATAAGGGTTAAGGGCTAAGTCTTCTCACTGTGACAGACACTTAGCCTGTTGACAACTTTAGATATCCTTTTGTATGCTAATGAGGTTCTTTTTCAGCATTGCTAAAGGAAATAAACCTAGGGCATGGGGAAGGGGGAGGGTCAGAAGTACTTCAATCGTGATAACTTAAAAAACATCTTTGTTAAAGTCCTTAGCAGAGTTGTCATGGAATTGAGAAGTTTCAGCATCTATTTGTAAACTCTGGGGCAGAACCATTAGTAGCTCTATCCATTGAGAAGCCACCATCTCACTGAAGCTGGGTTTCTAAAATTTCTTCATATACACCCCTGTGAGTGGGTGATTAGGGCAATTGACAGAGTAACTCTCTTCTTAAAGGCCAAAGATATACAACCAACCCTTCCATGCCACATGTGCATTTGTTCATCCAAATCCACATGACAGAGAAAGTGCTCCTAAAACCCGGATTCTAATGTAGGAACACTGTTTCTGCATTTCCCCCAAGTTGTTTCTTTTGAGACATTTCTAGGGAACACTCTGAGCCACTAAGAGGGACCAATACCCTTCAATATCTTTATAATAAATCAATTAATTTCTTGGGGATGATGTGGAATTTTTACTTGACTTATTCCAATTTGATTCCAAACATTCTAGGATTCTATGGTCCAGCAATAGGAAAATGTAGCATATTATAGCTCCCTATCCCACAAATTCAAAATGCATATTCATTATCATATGGAAGGTTCAGTGAAGATTTGCAATAAATATACTTGCTCCTTTTCATTTGGCCAGTTCTCTTCTAAACTCATTTAACCATAAAATACTCTTCCCACACCTCCATCCCAACTAGTAGAGATAACTGACAGGCCTGCTGCCAGATTTAAGGTTTCTGCCATCAGAGTCCAGTATTTGGATTAAAAGAGGAGGAGCCTGATCACATATGCTACCAGGAGGGAAAACATCCACTATTATGTTGGCATAGATTTGTTTCTGTGATTAGTTTGTGCAGTTAATAACTGACAGATTATCATAAAGTATGCAATGATAGGGGGCCTCAAATGCCAAAAAAAAAAGTAGAGTTTGGAAGACCTAAAATCTCAACCACCACCAAAATTAGCAAACAGGCCAAAGGCAGGAACCTGAGTTATGAGGAGAGGTTTTTATTGAAAGGGAAGAAAAGAAAGGTAGCATGCTCTGGAGTTATATATTATCAAGTATTTAATTTTGTTTAAAACTGGTCCTACTTTTAGGGAGTGACTATTCCCAACACACTTCTTTAATGCACCTTTCTTCATCATGTTGTTTTCTTTTAAACCAATTGTTTGTGCCTTTTTCCTTATTTCAGATGATGGAAAATGCCCCTTGAATCCTCACAGGTAAAATGGAAATGTTTATGTCTAAGTAATTTTCTTTTTTTAATTTTTAGTTAAATGTCATGTTAGAATGATTACACATAAGCCACCTTTTGCAACAAATCTTTTGCAATGTTCCCTTTACTAATTCAGAAGTAGAATACACAGATAATATATTCTAACTACATGTAATATTCTTAAAAACCAACAAGTGTCCCAGTTATAAAGGAGAGGTAAAAGGGAAAGTGATTTATAATAATAATAATACATACTGAAGTTCGGGCACTACACTAGCAAATTCTGTGAATGATCAGAAACTCACACCGTTGGGTAGAATTCACTATCAAGGCAACAGTGTAAAGGCCAGTTGGCTGGAATATTGTATTTGTAATTCAAACAGCATCAGAAGCATTGCTCACACCAATCTGATATTCCTTAAATGGCATGATGAACAGCTCTGGGAAAGAATTGTAAAGTCAATTATAGTCTTCCCTCAGTCTACATGATAATTAAATTTTAAAACAGGCAAAAATAAAAACTTTAATATTTTTAATAGTTAATAGTAATACTTAATATCTTAAGTCAGTTAAGTCCCAGGCTCAGAGATTTTTCACCAACATAAATACTGAGTAAGATATTCAAGAGCTGTTGGGGGTATAAGATAATTGTTTCCCGTTATTTTATTAGGACATCCAGCCCCTCTGACTCTTGCCCACTAAAAACTCAGTAGAACTTTGGAAAATTAGAAAATGCCCCTAGGGGGCAGTACTACCATTCTTTGAAAACCACTGTCAGATGATCAAGTTTAAGGTTGGCAGCTTTGTAAAGATCCTCTCATCCAGAAGAGACTGTAGCCTTATGGGGCATAGCAATTATTAAGAACTCAAAGCTTAACAATAAGTTAATAGAGCTACTAAGTAGGAGCTCATTTCTTTGGCATTTATTTTTCTTTCCTTTTTAAAGAATGGTCTCTGCAGGAACATTGTGCTGGACTGTGGTTAAAGACTAAGCTCCTTATGACAGGCCATTCCTTGTGTTTCTTTTCTTTAGCCACCTAGGAACATACGGAGTTTTTACCAATGCTGCATTTGATTTGAGCTCTTAAGGTAAGTTACCTATAAGGATATTTTTGAAGGGTACAGAATAGCAAGAATGCAAAAAAGGAAGGATTTAAAGTATGACTTGTCTTTATAAGTCATTAATTAAATTTTAAGCACCTATTAGCTTTTCAAACCACGAAGGAAACTATAGTGGCAGCAGGGAAAGATATGGCAGTGTAGTGACAACAGAAAGTGAGTTCATAGGAGGATGTCCATTTCCTTCAAGATAGAAATGTTCTAATAAAATATGTTCTATTATGAAATATGACACAAGTTCTAGTATGATTTTAGGATATATGACCTTTCCATCAGTGGCTAAGAGGCAGTACTGACACTGTGGTCTGGCTTAATACCTAGAAGGCACGACTACTGGAAAACTTTTAGACATTTATGGACTTAATCTCCTACAGGACATGCTTGGAAAGCAAAAATAATTTGACAGTTTCTCTCTCAAAAAAAAAAGCTGAGTGCGAAAGTAAGTTTCCTAAGAAAAGGAGCTTAGAAGGTAGAATATATGGAGTCCTGAGATAATATTGAGCCTTAGAGGGTAGATATGAGGAAAACTTTCTTTCCTTCCTTCTTTTTGAAAAATAATATTTATCTAATTTTTGTTCATTTTCAGAGAACTGTCCTTTAGTCACTTCACTGAACATCCACCAGATCCTATTTTTAAACTCTGGGCTTCCTGCTAAACTTGATTTTAACTATAGTGTGTTTGGTGCAATTTTCTGTAAATACTTGTGAATAAAGACATGAAATTGCCTTTAGATTAGCAATGGACCACAGCAGAAGGACTGTATCAAAAGCCAAAACCCTCCACCCAAGACCTCTTCCTGCCCCACCTCTCCTCTTCCTTCAACAGAAGCCTCAGAAGCCAGGGCTGAATGTTTCCACAATAGACTGTGGTACAACCAATTAGCCAGAGACTGGAGCTTCTGACTCACTGGCAAGCCAGACTGTGGAGAAATTAAAATGCCTCTACTGTGTTGAAAAGCAGGCCATAATTTTGACTTGAGAGAATTCCTGTAAGATCTCCTGGAGTCTCCAGTGGCTACTATTTATGAAGACTCTTAGATCCCTGCTGTGAGGTTTCCAGAGCAGCCTGTGGATTAAACCAGGGACAGCAAAGACAAAGAACCAAGACAGAAAAGTACATGTCACTGTAGGCCTTCCCTCTACCAGGTACCCTCCCTTAAAGACCATTGTTAAAAGTGTAATTAAAAGGATTCTCCTCCAAATGCCATGTTCTTCTCTTTGATATTTTGTTTTGTTCCTGTGTACATCGCCTTATCACCAATGTAAGCACAATTGCAGTTGTCCCAACTCCAGTGCAACCCTTCACACAGATAGCACGACCCAGAGTAAAGTTGAAGAAAAAATCTTCATCACTGTGTGTTCTTTAGAGAAGCACATATGAGTTTCATATTTTCTTTAAATCACATATTTAATAAACAGGCTGTTGAAGGTTACACAGAAATTACCTGCAGCTGATACAAACACAGAAATTACCTGCAGCTGATACAAACACAGAAATTACCTGCAGCTGATACAAACACAAAGGATCCAGCAATACACTTGTTTTATTTCTGTGAAATGTGTGACCTTGAACATGCCATATAGACTGAAAAACATATTGGTAAACATGTAAATAAAAATAATAGAGCAGTCTCACTGAAGGTTATAACAATGTGGGACTTAGGAATACAGTGCTTTTAAGTTTCTCTAATATACGGTCAATAGTATCTCTGATTGTTTATTTTAGTCCAATAACTGGGTTTAGTATAACTGGATAATGCTTTTCAGCCCTGTATACCAAGTGAAATTCTGCATTTTGGAGGGAATCCACCAGGGAATTCTGACATATTACCAGCTTTCAAACTCACTAAGATTGTAGGTACTAAAGTATCAGGCGCTGTTCATGTTCTTTAATACTTTATAATCTAGTTGGGGTGATACAGACACCCACACGAAGTACTAAAAGGCAAACAAGATGAATGGATTCTTTGAATCATGTTATAGATGTTCCTAAAATGGACAGTCAGTCTGAACCCATATTCAAAGAGATAGAGCTCTGGACTTCAAAGAGTGGACAGCAAAGAGAAAGAGAAGGGGCATTCTGCGTTGATAGAATAAGACCAGCAAAGGGATCAAAGATGGAAGAATATGTGTAGAGAGAGTGAAGCTTTTGAGGACCTAACACCACTGTGATTTCATGAGAAATGCGGGATGACAATTTATTGAGACAAATCTTAAGAAAGAAGGTCAGGGGTATGTAGATTCAGAACCCTAAAGCAAGTCTAATAGCACACCGACAGTTCAGATAATGTAATTCTCATATTTTCTATTAACAACAAAATAAAATCTTTATGCAGTTTTTAAAAATATTTCCTTATGCATACATGCAAAAGCTGGGGTATAGGCCTGAAGTATTGGGGTGAGGGCAAAGAGGAGGGTAAACAGATTCACTAGAGACAGAGTGGGAAACAAAACAGGCAAATCTATTGAAATACACTGCAGAGGGGATCAGTGGGCGAGACAGGAAAGGTCTGCTTTGCCATATGTGGGTCAGCTCCCTGGCCAGGCTGGGAGTGGCTGCCGATAGTTGCTGATAGCTGCCGATTGTTTCACAGTACTGAAACTTAACTTCTTGAACCACCAGGGAGGTCCTAATCTTTAAGCAGTTTGAAATAGCCAGATCCTCCAAGAAATAAAAGCAGCCCTGTATAAAGTGCTGTGTGTGTTTTCTAACTGCTAAGAATGACACATTTTATAGTAATCTTTTATCCTCCAACAACCCTTACTGTTTGACAGATATCAAAACTGAGTTCCAGAAAGGTTGAGTAATTTATAAAAGATAACACAGACAGAAAGTTGGATTAAAATTGAGTTCATCAAGCAAGTTTAAGTCTTCTGCTCTGCTTTGCTGTCCACACTCTTCTCAGAAAGAACTGTGAATGGGCAGAAGCCAATTAAATGGTCCCTGTTCGTCCCCTGTTCATGGGCTCAGACACTTGCTTCCTCACCACTTGAAAATACAATATCTCTGTGTCTAGTAACAGGGGTGATATTCTTCCTCAGTTCTGAGGGAGGGTCATGTGGGTAAAGGTATTGAGTTGCATTACACTAGGAGTTGCAGAGGGTCTGGCAAGTGTGAACTTTGCCCAGGCAGGTTTTTTGGATGATGATAGTGGAGAAAGTTAATTTCCTGTTACCCTTCTAGGTCCCTAGGCTGGAAAAAAAAAAAATTAAAAGACGAGCCTTAATTCTGTGTGGTGTACTCAGCGATACACAGAATATGAACCTACCTCCTATCATTCCAGTGAGGTTATACAATTTCTAAAAAAGAAGGCAATGCATTTAAGAGGGAAAGACAAAACAAACAACTTTGCAATTAAAAGAAAAAGGGCTTTTGCAGGATTCTTCTACATAGGCATGGAAAACAAACCTTGCAAACTTTAGCCTGGGCTGATAAAGCTGGAAGGCTATCTCCCACCTCCCAAAACAGAAGAGATTTTTTGTTTTAGGGCAATACTTAGGCAAATCATTCATTCTTATATTTCTGGCTCTTAATCAGCATACACTTAGGCACATCGTGGGGGAGGGGGGTGTCTGTCTTTAGTCCCAACACTGGAAAAGGTCTCGCAGGGGCGCTAAGGGCAAGTGAAAGTGGGGAATATAGTCCTGACAACTGGGCATTGTGCCACATTCTAGAGCCTCTGATTTGCTGCCCTTTCTTCATCAAGAGTAAAACAGTCAATAGCTGGTCACCTAGGACAGCAACCTAGCCAACCCCCTGCCTAGGAAGGCGGGGACAGCCCAAAGCAGCAGCAACAGCAGCAACAGCAAGAAGCCAGAGAATGGAGAAGAGGGACACTGCCACCCGCAGCTTCCTGAGCTCACTGCAGCCCAGACAGCGCAGACATCAGGAAGGGGCCACAGTCTCATCCTGCCCAGGTCCTAGGGTGGGGATTTTGGGCAGGAAAGGAACCATGTCCCCTGACTGCCAGTGCTTCTGGGTCTTGGTGATTGTGGCTACTGGTGGGGCAAGCTTAGGAGCTGAAGCAGCACGACTCAGACAGTTCTATGTGGCTGCTCAAACCATCAACTGGAGCTACCTCCCTGAGCCCATGAACCCGAGGTAATGCAGGCTGGTGTCTGGGTGGGCATCTCTAGGGAGGGTCATATTTTTTCTCTTTAAAAAACAATAAGTTCCTTTTGCAACTTCTTGGTTTAAAAAAATTCAGGTAAGTAAATAAATCAATAGAGTAAAATGAATGAAATAAACTTTGGGAATGTTAATTGTATCCAATAATAGTTTTACATTCTGAGCATACAGGAAATATTCTATTTGATTGCTTTGAAAAGCTTGCTGTAAATACAGTTATGCTAAGTATGTTTGATTTATTGGCTTAATATATTGACTGATTCAAAAGCAGCAGACAGCAATTTCCTTAGCAGTCCTCTCTGAAACTCCTGTTTCAGATTTTTAGCAGTCTAGCATTTTTATGAAACTTCTAGTTACATATTATTAATTTCATTGTCCGCATAGCTTCATCTTTTAAAGTAAAACTATATATACCTTATGCTTTAGTTTGGACAGATTAGTTAGACCATAACAATTGCCATATTTTTTGATGCTGTTTTATATGTTTACATTTGAAATATCATCAGTCCATAAAAATGCAACACTTTTCTTCCTTTGCCTTTTTTTTTTTTTCCTGCTTTCTCATTCTTTATCATTCTCTGGGAAATGATCTTTCCCTGGCTATTTTGTTAGGGCCACTATTGAAAGTCATATGGAATTGATTTTTATACAAGGTATAAAGAATAAAACTCAATCTTCAAGTTGCAAAAAACTCCTAATTGAAAAGTTAAAATTAAAACTTCCCAGACATTAACCAAATCTACTCAATATTTCCAGTGAACAGTACTTTTATTTGTTTTAATGGTAAACCTTAGTGTGACTCAATTTTTTTTTTTTACTTAA